ATGGTTTTGGGAGGCTTATTGGCTGTATATCTTTGATCTATCTCAAGCCACACCAGTTCTCTCAATGAGGCTTTTGTTTTTCTAAAAAAATGATGGTACCCACCCAACATTACCATTATACACTAGAGGTCACTCAAGAATGCTTCAATTCTGTGTTTCTTTAGCGCACTGGTTTAAGTATAGAAATACAGGCTGTGCCCTGAGGTGAGGTCCATTTGCATATGTGTGTGTGTGTGTGTCATCAATTAGAATGGTCATGCAACACCAGGGCATGCATTGCTTTTTTTGTTATGTAGGCTAAAACGGCCTCTGTTGTTTGCTGGCGTAAATTTTCACATGCATGATGGATGGTGACTTGACTTGGCTGTTTGTAATTTTGCTGGAGTAATTTTTAGACTATCCCCTTCTACGTGTTTGTATTCCAAAGGAGTTTGGGAAACCAGCAAGGAACATTTTGCATCTATACACAGACATTCAGCCCTGTCAATTGGTTTTTCAGAATCCTTTTTATACTCTTCAGTGAGTAAACGTCTTCTCCCACTGAAACTTTGCTTTTTAATATTGTCATGAGAAATGACTGTGTTGTTCCTTCTAGTGGGTCTTGTCTCCTATGCTAAGTTTGTTTTATTTGTTTTTTTTTAATTTCAATTGCAAAATGTTGCTTTTATGAGCAGCCGACTTAGATGCAGGAATAGAGCTTCAGCGTCTGAACGATTGCAGGGATTACCTTGCGGGAGAGGCTCTAATATCACAAGACCTTGAGGAAAAGGGAAAGCAAATTTCTACATTGTATTTTGCAAATTAACAAGAGAGGATAGGCCTACCACCTTAGAAGACAGTCTTAAATGATACCGAGAAGTTTAAGAACCTTGTAAAACTGCTTAAAATCATCTTACAAGTAAAATTAATCTATAAATAATATTAACACTAAAATATCAGTTATATGTTCAAATGGATCCTTTAACAACAACAGTAAGAGAATTGACTAACGATGCAGTCATTGCATAATGTGGAAGTTGGCCCACAGCCCAACGCAACAATGTTAAACACCATATTTCTTCCAGTAAAGTAATCTCTGATTGCAGTATCTGTTTTCAGCTCAAGTAGCTTATTGTGGGAGACTTGGACTAGATCAGAAAGGGCTATGTTTTCATAATGTAATTGTGTCTCTTGATGCAGTTGGACATCAGAAATCAAATATGATGTTTGAACAAAACACATTATATGGGACCTTTACAGCAGTAGTTTTGACTTGGAATATTTTAGCCCAAAAACCTAAATGCAGATGAGAAACAGATTTGGTTTTTAGAGATTCTCAAGATGCTAAAATGCCTTCAAATTGGGATTTAAATTAGACTACTGTCCACAGATAAGTGAAAATGTTAACATTGCTAATTTTCTGACTCTCTTTCATACTGGCTTCAACAAATTGACTTCCATGACGCTAATTGTATCAATTTATTTAATACTTAATGTCTAATTTAAATACCACTGCTAAACAAAAGATAAGCTAAAAGATGAATGAATGAATGAAAGTAAGAAATTCTGGGAAAATCTTGCTCTCTGAAATCAGTAACAGACGCAGGTTTGTAATTCTCTGAGAGCTACAGCACAAAACTACACAACAACTATGTAAGAGTCATACTATAACATAACTGTCACACTATGAACTCACATCTTGCATAATACAGCAAAACGTGAAAGGAAAGAATTACTATTGTGGACCTTCATCATTCGTAGTACTACCTAGCTAAAATTTAATAATACATTAAAAAAACCCCCTCACCTTAATGACATGGGCTGCTTTGAGGTGAATGGCACCCATGGGAGGTCTGGTTTCAAAGTTAGCTTCAGAGTAAACCTGGAAGAATTTCCAAACATAAGAATGGGAAGGCCATCTGAACATTTATTGTGACTAAGACTTCCAGCTGCAGCCTAGAATTTCACCGCAACTTGACTTTCTTTCTACAATAATACAGGGCAGGTGTTTTTATGGGAAACTGAGGAAAACTCCTAGGAAAACTTCTCTGAATCAGCAAGCAGAGTGAGTTCAGACTCAGCCCACGTTTGAGGTTTTAGCAAGAAACAAAGATCCTCGAATTTGTTTCTGCATTCAATCTTCCCAAGAATATTTAGTTTATTCAAGTTCATTTTGAATTAAGGATTCATCCACAGTGTATGTTTCCTGGGAATATAGCCCTCTAATCTGTTTATATGCCTCTATATATGCAGTTGTGGTGAGTTTGTCTGTGTGAGGATGCAGTATATCAGGCCTTTCTGAAACTATCAAACTATAGGATTGTTAGCAGAAGCCTAACTAATCTGTTTTCTTCTTCATTAGCATGCCATAGCCACTATGCTAGTGATAAGGAAAAAGGCAAGAAATGCTGTCAGATTCTGCACCTCATTTACTCCAGAGTGAATACAGAGTAGCTGTACAGAAAATAAAGCAATGTATTTAGGTTTATTCTGCTGTAACTTGGGTCAGGAATATCCCTTCAGAATGTTGTATATTTAATGATAGCATCGTATGTTGTATTGGTTTTTGTTGTTGTTGGATTGTGGAGTTGTGGTTTTTTTCTTAAATTCACTTCTTGCCTAGTAGGGAGTTGATATTTATATGCCGTCCTCTTTGAGAACAACTTTTAAATATTTCAATACCAGGAGAGAACTTGCTTCCAGATTCATTTTCAGACTGGAGTCAAGAAATTAAAGCAAAGAGAGTTTAAAAGGAAAAGCAAAGAAGAGCCAGATGAAAACATGTAAACTCCAAACTTGTTCAGTTGTTGGATTGCTCACAAGGCAGTTCTTGCTATGAAACCTGTCTCTGCCCCAATTAGTCAGTGACACCAGGCAGAGCAATAGAGCTGTCCACATTGAGGGAGGGAGAGATAAAATAATAAGCAAAGTAATACTGGAAAAGCAAATGTGAATAATGAGTTATAAATATTAACTGTCTTGCATGATTTGCTATTTTTGCTGAAATTTCTCATGTAATTGTTGTCTTTTCAAGGGACCGAGCTCCCTTCATCTTCACATCAGAGATGGAGTATTTCATCACAGAGGGTGGAAAAAACCCACAGCGATTTCAAGAGTTTGTGGAGCTTTGTTGTCGAGCTTATAATATAGTCAGGAAACACAGCCAGTTACTCTTGAACCTGCTGGAGATGGTAAGAAGCTCGAGGATGAAACCAAAAAGCAATTTCCTCTGGTGTTCTTTTCCCTTTTACCACTTCTGTGCTGTGTCCAGTAGCACTGTGATTTGAAAAGGTATTATCTGCACTGCTGGAAATGTTAGTGCTGATGCTTTCTGTATGAAGGAACTATCCAATTTCAGTGCTAATTTCTGAGAAAAGAAAAGCTAAACTGCTTGGATTTTTCCTTTTTTTAATGTATTCTTTTTTACGAAATAGCAGAAAACTGCAAAAGAAGCTGGGTACAAGTTTCACATGCAGGAATTTCACCCAGCCCTTCTTCTAGGTCTTCAAGAAACCATTTACCAATCCTTTCATGGTCACAGCAAGACGAAGTAAACTAAATATTCCACAGAGTTGGTGATGTGACAGTACCTACCAGCACCGCAGCTAACAATGATGCCATTAGAATGTTTTTTGCACATTTCTACACTCCATTCTTAGGATGGCAAACACAGGAAGGAGTGAGCACAACCCATATTGAGACATGTTTAAAAATCCTTTTGTATAGGATTTTAAGACCTCTAGGAGTTTTTATCCCTTAAGTATTCCTACCAATTCATGTGCTGTGACAGATTCCCTAACTGCTTTGTGCCTCTGTCTTCTTGTATATGAAAGGTTAATGAGTTTCACCTTCATGGGTAGAATAAGAGTATTAAATTAACTAATATTTGCTAAGTTGCTTGGCCACAATATTAATCCAAAACGTGTGTCCAGGGCCCCATGCGAAACCTAGGTGACTGGTCTGTGCATGAAAAAAATCTGCACAACCTAATAAAAAGAACTCCTACTGAGGTTGGGATACAGCCAAGAAGCTTGTCTGTAAACACTGCTATATCTTCTCTAACTTCTGCAATGGGGAGGGGAGAAGTGGCAAGAATTTGCTCATCTTATTTCTTCTGTCTTGTTCATGGATTCTCATGTCGTGATACAGTGAGTGATTTCCCAATAGGGAGTAGGAAGGATTGCCCCGGATCTCTTAACCCTGCTTCTAGGTAGTCACAAAGGTGCAGCAAAACTGCATACCCATCATAAAGCATAATTTTGCACTGAAAGCAGTGCAGAGTGCAGTTGTAGGAGATACTGTCTAAGTTAAAGAGCCTGTGGAAAACTTGGGAGCACCCCAGCTTTCTCATCCACCGCAATAGTCCCTGCATTTCTGAACAGATTGCCTACAAGTGCATGCTGCAAATATGTCTATGTCTTCTGCCCACCTCCTTGTCCCCAGTACAGCCCTGTTTTCTGCAAGCAGCAGAGATAATGATGTTAGATTACTCTGGGATAATAGAGAGAGAGTGTTAGGAAAATGTTCCCAGCAGGAGCTCTGAAATAACTAGCTATCTCTGCCTGGATACAGCTCAGGTTTGTCTATATTCAGGATGTGCTGTATATTCTTTTTTTTCTGCTGATCTTAAAGAAGAGGTAATAGTGCTGAGCTAAAAGTCAGCATATAGATATGTTTTAGTATTTGTCAATGGGCTGCAGTTCAGTCAATTGTGTTGCATTTCATAATTGAAAAATAACTGGCAGTGTAGTAACACCCAATTGAAGAGCACTTAATATCAAAGGAAATTAAACAAGACAAGTTTGCGAATGCCTTGTTTTTGCCAGTGATGTTTGGAACGGTGAGTCTGTTTGCACTTGAAATGGGGTGTTAGTCAGAAACTGTAAGTATCAAAATGTTTTAGTTGCTTGGGTCATTTCTAGAAAAGTAAATAGACTGTGAAGAAGTTTCACTTTAAATTAATTTCCATGCAGAATATCAGATGTTATCATGAAGGGGCAAGATAAACTAACCACTGCTTATTTGTATCAATGACAGTCTAAGATTTTTCTCACTGTCTGGAAATCTGCATTGTTAATCTTTCCTTCCCCTCCCATATTCTGTTTTCTGAGATGCTATTTATAAAACATATTTTTTAAAAAATCTAAACAATAAGGCTATTTCCAAAAAGTACAGTACCTCACAGGAGTAGTAAACTGCCCTGGATGGTCAGTAACTATTAGTGGTTTCTAGCAAACCGTCATTATGAATAATTTGGGGGTTTTGGCCCAGTTTGGGAATTAATGCTTTTTCTTGGTGGCGAGCAGCGTGTTTCTAGAGCTGTACTGACATTTGCTGCTGGGAATGAAAAATAAACCATGAAGTTTCTATCACTTTCAAAAGCAGAAACATCTGTAGGAGACCCAAGAGTCTGCTGGCAGAGTTCAGCTGCATAAACACCTGCAGTTCATCAGCTTTGCTCTCATTAAAGATTTGATGTGAACTGATATAAAAAGGGTGATCGCAGGACAAAACACCTTTTGATAGTTTAAAGAAATACAAAATCCATTACTATTATAAAGATTTTTCAGGTAGAAAATTATTAAAAGGGGCTTAGAGATGACACTAGACAGTGAGTAATTGATCCACTTGCCTCTGTTGTGACAAGAAACAGGTCAACCTAATAGCATAAAACAGGAGACAGTACCTAGACAGAGCAGATCTAAGACTCAAGAATCATGTGTCCCCATGCAAGTCATTTCACCCTTCTAAACTCAGAAACACTGTTTGGAAAAAGAGGATCAGGAAACATCCCCATTTTGGAGGATGCCAGGACTGTTCATTTTTCATGGGATGGTGGACTGAGCATCACACACCAGCTGTGAACCCAGGCCCAAGGAGAGTGTAGGCAGCTCCACTCAGTGAGTCAGAAGGCCTGGGATAATCAAGTGTGGTAGGTCAAGATATATGTGTGGCCGAATGAGAGGAGCAATGCAGGCACTTCAACTTAGGCATCTAGTGACATTTGAGTTGCCCTAGGCGACCTGTAGTTGTTTTCCGAACAGTTGTTCCATGTCTTGTCTAATTAGTATCACTAGCCACAGTGTTGGGAAGCCTCCTCCATCAGGGGACTGGAAACACAAAAGCTGTGCTATATGGAGCAAAGGCCATGAAACAGTGTAGTAATACTCTAGGACCCCCTTGCAGCCAACAAAGCACTGTGTAGGTACTGCCCAGCTAAAAACTTTTTTTTTTTGCTTTAGCAAATGATTTTCCACCTTCTGCAATTCAGAGAACCTAAAAAAAATCCTGTTTTTCTGTTGCGGTAGAGATCATTCAGATTATGTTTATATCTGGTATTGTCCCCTTTTCTAATGCAGGGCAAGAACCTCAATTTGCCTATACAACAACTCTTTTTTTTTTCTTTAAAGGGGACAATAGTTATTATCATCTTATATAAATGAGTTGAAGGCGTACAGATAAATAGCACTGTGTGTCCTTAAGTGTTGAATGTTGTTACTGTCCCTGCTCTCAACTTACTCAAATTCATCTCATTGAGCTTTCTGCCTCTCTGCTCCTTCCTAGCCAGAACTCTGTGAGACAGCAATCTGTCCAGTGGTGGTATAGATTGGGTCTGATATGAACCAAGATCTTTTTCATAATACCAGAAAGAAAATATAGAAAATATTGAAACTTAACTTAAAAATATTGAGAAGCTTTGAAGGAATACACCCCCCCATCTCTTTTCCCCTTACTCTATTTGAGTCTCAACCAAACCTTAAGATAAAAACAATGCTTCTTTTTTTTCTGCTGTTACTTGCAAAACTCAGTGTGTTTGTCTGTCTGCGCTAGACATAAATAACAGTGAAGAATGGACAGTGGTGACTGCAAATTCAGATACATTTCCTTCTGAGCAATGTGGAGTGATTTTTTTCTCCATTACACACAAAACATCACTCTCAACTCACTGTGATTTTTGAGAAAAATCAGTAGGTTTTGAAGTGAGTAAAAATTATTTTTGTTGTTGACATTTTAAAATGCCTAGACAGAGGTGTATGGGGAATTGGATGCACTCAGTTGTCTACCCTACTTGTGTTGTTACTTTGCCAGGGGAATATTTGCATTATTTGTCTCTTGAACCTAACTTGGCCAACTATCCAGAACAGCTCCATCCCTCATCGATGGACAATAATACCCTCTCCAGAGGGCGGTTCTCAATGCTCAAGTCAGGACTCCTGCAATGAATTGATATCTAAAGGAACTTTTCTCCTCCATGGACTGTAAAGGGAGTGAATCTATGATCCCTTTGGAGGAGTCCAGAGCAATGATGGTAGAATCAGTAGTTACAAATGAGAAGGTGATGTTACGCTAATTTGGATTAGCACTAGGATAATACTGTTAGCATAACAGAAGTGTGGTTACTGTTGTTCCGGTGGCTGAATTTGGTCACCTTGCCTTTATTACCATTAGAAGGCTATGAAGGAAGCTTAGCAATGCACGCATTGAGATTATGATATCCAGAGAGAAAATAAATAATTAAAATGGATCGGTGATTTTGACCCACGTGTCTTTCCAGTACATCTGTGTGAAGGTTTACAGTGCAAAATTCACTGTAGTATTCCAGGCATTGCTGTAGCACTGGAACCACTTTTCAGATCAGCAAAACTGTGTTTTACAAGAAGACCTTTTGGTGTAAAACCTTTCTTTTCTCAGTTAACCATATTTCATTCAAAGTCTTTCCAATAGAACAGTGAACTAATGACATTTCTTTACTTTAAGATGCTGCATGCAGGATTGCCCGAGCTAAACAGCATTCAGGATCTGAAGTATGTGTATGATAACCTCCGTCCTCAGGACTCAGACCTCCAGGCTACCAGCTACTTTACAAGGTAAAACCAGAATATAATCCAGAAACCTTATCTCCTTCAGGCATGAAGCAAAGTTGTGAAATTAAAAAAAAAAAAAAAAGCAGCACTTTTTCTGTTATGTTAAGAGGTTGTGATTGGTAAAATAACACGAAAAGACAATCAGTCTTCACATGTTTACTTTTAAAAAGTCCCTTCCTTATGCATGTTATAAGCAATCTCCTCAAATTTCTGGAAGAAACATTTGTGCATTTGTGATACACTTGTTACAAGTCACTGATTCAGCACCTAGAGATTTCTTTGGCTTTTATGGTGGAACCATGCTGGCTTATATCTAGTCAGCTTTCCTCTCTGCTTTTAAATGCAGCAGCTACATGCAACAGGATTTGGTCTGCATAAAAATGTTCAACTTGTTAATGGACTGAGTGAGGACCTGGAATTCTTGCATTTTAGTGCATTTTCTGTTCTTCTTTTGATCTTCTTTGTTGCCTCAGTCAAGTTACTTTCCCTCTGTTAGCCATGGTTTCTCCATCTGCAAAATGGTACTGATTCTTCCTTTCAAGCACTTAACAGATCTATCACAGGAAGGCATTGTGTGTGAATATAGGAACGTTTAAAGCTTGATTTGTGTTAGGATAATGAAACCGTTCACTTGTTTGTGATAATAACTGGGTATTATTGATGAGGTGCTGGAGATGATGTGTAAAATCAGTTTGAAGCCCTCAGTCCTGATCTTTCAGGTCAGGCCTCTGCATTACATATAATTCCAGTTGTTGATGTGATGACGCTCTAGATGGAGCCAGTGGAGACTGTCTGGATTTGGAAACTCACTTTCCCTTTCCAGGCACAGTATGAGAAAAAAATCTCCCTATCAGAGCCTGTCCTGTGCAGCACCACCATTTCCCAAAGACAGTCTGTGAATTCACAGACCCTGGATGCCACATACACCTGCCAAGCAAGCCAGACTCTTCTGACCTCCTCCTCTGGTGCAAGTGCAGGGCACACATCCAGTTCACAGCAGTGGACTCTGAGTGAGGGGCTCCTTTCAAATTCAGAGCCCTAAAGGGCACTCCCATAAGGCAGCACACTTCTTTGCACAGTGCAAACTGCCTTGAGGCAAGAGCAATCCCCCCCCCCCCCCCCCCCCCCCCCCCTCGCCAACGCCGACCCTTCAGTACAGCCAGAGGGCATATTGCAATAAATAAATGAGGTGAAAGCTTGAACTGGAGCAGCTGAGCCGGTCTCATTACTATTACAGGGGCCCATGTGAAGATTTTGGGCAATTTAAATTGTGTTGTTTATATGTCTCCTTTTCATGTATTAGGATTGGAAACTGAGGCAGCAGGTTCGGAGAAGGCTGGAACACAGACCTAGAGAGTTTAAGGAAGACTCTTCTTCGAAGATAGAGGAATTTATAAAACAAAACTATTGTTCAATTACTTTACATACAGCAGAGCACTGAGTTCCTTCTCCTTTAACCCTTGTTTTTTCATATGCTCTCACTCTTGCCCCTTAGCAAGATTGTTTTATTTTAAAATTTAATTACAGCTTCACATTTACCGTCAACTCCTACCTTATCCTTTCCTTTAAAATTTTATATATTCCCAAATTACAGACTTACATTTCCACTTCAAATAGGAAACATACAGTTTCTAATTAAGTTGTAAAATTCTTGATTCTGTCAAATAGTTTGGGTGGTTGTGTCTGTCTCTCATGGGTAAAAAACCCAATTCATTTAATTAGTGAAAAAAGGCTAGGATATACATAACAAATAGGGAAATGTGAATCTTCAGAGTGAAAATTGTATTAGTGTCATGCAAAGCACAGAGCTGGTGCCAAGCACTCTTCTGGAGGTGGAAAGGATCGGTATGCTTTTCAGTTAGGTAGGACTAAGGTTATGGTTAGGGTTAATATCACTGCAGTCTTGCTTAGCTGGAAGACAAAGGATAAAGGCTGGGTTCAGGACAGAGCTGTAGCTCTACACCCTTTCTTAGAGTTGGGCAAAATAGTTGTGGTGGTTTTGAGGGTTAGGTTGGAGGAGGTGAGGGACTTCAGAGTGGGAATTCACCTTTCTCAGTCTTTATCAGCCAAAACATGTGGAATAACAGCTGACATTAGGAGAGAGATGTGGCTCAGCACTATTTTGGAAGTAAGAAGAGGTGATGTGCTTTGTTGCCTGGTAGAGGTTCGTATTAGGGTTAGGAAATCCTGTTCAGCCCAGAGAGACTATAACTAGGACTCAGAAGCCAACATGTCCCTCTTCCCATAAGATTTCTTGTTAGGGTTGCTGTTAAGGATGTTAAGGCCTTCAGAGTGAAAATGCCACTCAAGTCCTGCTTACCAACAAAACCAGCATCGTGGTGCAGATCTGTGCAGTGCTGTGGGCTCTGTTCTTATTTGAAACAATATTTTCTGCTAAAATGTTTTTGGTGAACTCTAGAGCTATTGTTCCAATTTCCTTCAAAATGCTGAATTGTAGATTTGTTATTGTCTGTAGATATCATTACATCACCTAGAAAAGTCAGATATTGCTAGGATGTATATTTTGTTCTTTAATACGTTTAGGGTATGTTTGTATTATATATGCTCATTTGCAAGAAGAAAGTCTCTTGTCATTAGCTCATGAATTTCTATGGATCTCATTTCCCTTGAAGTTTTTTTTTATTTTTGCTTTATTCTAATTTCTATTCATGTTTGAATATGATTTATGTTAATTCAATACATGTGTTAACTGATGTTTCTACATGTTCAAACACTGGCAGAACATCAGGCTTCATGTCTAGTAGTGTTTTAACTTCTGAAAAGTGCATCCAGACACTTTTCAAAATAAAGACTTTAGGATGGCCTGATACACAGATCCATGCAGAACTTACCCCTCTGTATAAGTATTTTCCGACCTGTCTCCAGGAATACTAATTGAGATTTTTGTAAACTTTGCATTACCTGTGTCATCTTTATTCCTGTCCTGCAGAAAAATTCTTCCCTACCTCCTTGTTATACAAAATGTCTGGGTGAGAAAAAAATCTCGTTATGTACTTCTCATGGACAGTCTGTAGCTTATTCCTCTATCTGTTTTTCAAGCTGTCCTTAGAAAGCCAAGGAAATTGAAAGTTCCAATTATTAGCGTAACTTCCAGTAGCTCTCAAATCCTTCACAATTTGTAGCTCCTTTTTCTCCGTAATTGCTTCCAAAAACACTTCATTGTTTTTAAAAAGTTCTTTTCTAGACAAGGAGTGTGGTCACTGGAATGTTAAACACTGCCAACAGAAAGTTATTTCTTGTTCTAAGTATAAGGTAGTTATTGGAATCTTTCAGATTCAATCATATAATGTATCCACTGAAAACCTCAATCTTCTGCTAGTGGAAATAGGAGAACAGTATTTCTCTGTATTTCTGTAGAAAAAGGTTTCTTTTAGCAATTGTCTGAGTTTGGTTTAAGCAATAATACTGACATTGCCTCTGCTGTTACTTAAAAACAACATGAAATGATGAACAATGTCACAAATATTCCTGGCAAAACAATGTTGATTTGTTCTTTGCCGTCGCCTTCTTAGCCAACAGAATAATGCTACTGGAGTTTGGACTGTAACGTACTGACCCCTTTCAGGATCGTAAACCATTCTGTGTTTTACCAAATTCCTTTGCTCTCATTCTTGATTTAAGACATATTCAACAATCAGTGCTCTTATTTGTGTACTGTGTTCTTCTCACAGTGGGTCAGTTCACTGTTATGAGCTGATGAGCGGCAGCGTTAAGGCTCACAGCTTACAGCCTTCTGGAAGGTCGCACCCTCAGATCGTGGATAAACAATGCACCGATTGAGAGTTAAACAAGAGTTTCTGTGTTTGCTTGTCAGCTCTGCGCACCTAGTGCCAAATGCAACATTGTTGTCTCTCCAGCATCTGCCCTGAACTCAGTTTGATCCCTTCTCCTTCCTCCTTTCCAAACACAGTTTTATCAGAAACTGGAAACCCATCTTACCTCTGGATATAAATTTCTTTTTTTGCTTTTCTGCAGATGTCTTCAAATGTCAGCATGGTGTGGCATGCTGCCTGACATTTTTAATGTGCCTGTGAAGGGATGTATATTTAAAATTATTTTTAAGGGATTAAAGTTAGCCTAATGCAATGAATGGCATTGATTTCACCTGATTGCAGTATGCAATCTAACCCACTCATAGAAACCCATGAATAAGGGATGCATGGTGGATCTGACAATTACCAGCGAAGCACCATTGCATATCTTCAGCAGCCTGATTGAGGGGGGTGCTGCTTGGGTCAGCCACCGTCTTTACTTACTTATTAACGGAATTATTTTTTAGGTACTTGTCATTGCCCAGGTCAAGCATCTCCACTCCAAATCACAAATGCCAGCAGTTGCAAAACTGGACAATTCACAGTAACTCCTCTCAAAACATGATGCTAATCTCAAGCTAATCAGCCAGTCCCTCTTTCTCAGGTGGCTGCAGATATTCCAACAAGAAATCTCCCAAACAGCTGGAACACCAGTGAAAGCTGGTGACTTCTGAAAGAGCATAGACAAAACTACAGTACTAAACTTTCTTTCAGCAGCATGCAAATAGTTTGTAAAGATCGTGGTATATGTGCCTCAGAGGAACAGAAGGTAGGCTTCCTCCTTGAATTTACGTTGTTTGAGGCATTCATACAGTTGTACAAACCCCACACACCACCAGATCAGTGGAAAGGAATGTCCTCTGTCCTGGGAGAGGTGTATAGGAGGACCAGTAGGGAAAAGCACTTCAGGAGAGTACCTGATGTGCTCAGCCCATGGGATCAGAGTAAGTCTGAAAGTAAACCTGGGTTTTAAAGCCTAGCAAAATAAAGAGTAAGAAGAGTATGATTATTGTTCGTATACTATCACAGTGGGAAACAAGATATTAAACTGAAGGGTTATCACTGCTGTACACAAAAAGAATATCAACTGTCTGTGAATAAATGTTGCTTAAAATTAGAAAAGGTCTGTCCCTGAAAGCAGTAATATTCTGGAAAAGTCTGTTAAAAGCTGTTGGAGGCATACTACCCAACTTGTTTTAAAATGGAGCCTGGTAAAGTCATGAATGGAAAAGTTGGATGTAAATGAAATACCATGTTCATTAACATCTGAGAATCTCAGGAAAATTAGTTTTGCTCATTATACTCTAAATTATTTTCAAGCCTAGATGGAAATGAGAAGCAGGAAGCCATCAAGAATTATGAAGAAAGTTATTCTGAAGTTTGGGGTGAATATTTATTGTTATATATACCAAGACTAAGATTTGGATAACTAGTCAGTAATAATGAGTGTATGTGCTCTTAAAAGGCTGTGGAGAAAGGCTAATGTGTCCAAAAATGTCTAAGTACCAGCCCTCAGAATACCTGTTCCATAAGAAATGTCTACTTCCCAAAAATCAAGGCACCAACTATCACTACTCACTCTTGAAAACATTAGCCAGTCTTTTCATCCATCTCTGTTTACACAAGCAGCCAACCAGTCTGTGCATGTTTTACTGGATACCGTAATTTGACAGTTCTGTAGAAAGACTGTGAGCCAAATCTGAAATTCAAAGTCAAAAGGTGGAAAGTGGAAAGTCATTACTTTTCAATAATCCCGGATATTTATCTCACTTTTCTGAGAAGTAGGTCGGACACCAATCTGTGTGGTAAATGGATATTTTCATGTGGAAAAAAATCATTTTTCTGCCTAAACACTATGTGTTAGCAATATTGTGATTCACAATTAATGTTACTCTAGTTAATGAGTGTTTCCTATTTTCTTCTGATTAACCTGCGCTTTTGATGCCCTTCATATAGATCCCTTCAGTTTTCCCATCTATAAACCGTTAGGCACTAATTCCCTAAGCAGCTTGGGCTACCAGAGCTCTGAAATAACTAAGAAACTTTTTGTCATCTTTGTGAAGGCAGAGCCAGCTTTAGGCACAGGCAAAGATAGTAATGACCTAGGGAGCAAGAGGATCTCAGCAATGAATACCCATGACCTTACCAACTTCTTCACCTATGGCTAAACTTAATGTGGCTGCAGAGAAAAGAAGATACCACAGTGTGATAAACTGAGTCAGTGAACTAATCCATACCAAAAATAAATCACAAAATTAAAAAAGATAAGACACATGGGTTTGATGTACCCCACCGCTCCATACATAGTTAGGAACCAGCTTTTGGGAGGCTGTGGGAAAGAAGGTTTCCTTAAGCCAGTTTGCCCTTGAAAGAAAGTACAGAGAACTATAACCAGGGTTGTTCTACTTTGCTGTGAAGACACACTCTGAGATGTCATCAGAATAGCAAAGAGGCTTTTTCAGTTCTTTGTTGATAACATGGCATAAGGATTGCTTAATGTTTTCTATTCTAATAGAGGACTACATACAGAGAACACATAATATCGAGAGAGGGAGAAAACAATGTATACTTCTGTTTTTATTTTATTTTAAATGTAGTGATTTAAAATAACTCACAGTGAAAATCGGCAACAATAATAACAAAAGCATCTGTTAAGGTTTAAAGTATGTGATTAACAATCTGGGTGCTAAAAGCATTTTAGAATCTTAATGGACCCATGGAAAGAACAATGAGCCATTAAAATACTGAATTGTTTAAATAATGGTATTCTGGTATCAGCTGTTCTGCGTAGTGATGGTGTCTGAATTAATACTAGTTTATAAGCATAGGCCTGCTTTATGTGAATTAAAATGCACTGTTTTTAGCTGCAAGGTTAATATGCCTCATAGTAATATTGCAAATTCCCTGAACGCTTTGCTATAGTATGGTCCAGTTACAGACTCTGTAACCTAAATCATGTTTTAGTGATTTAGGAAGGTTTAAACTATGCCTTAAATTAAATACATAGGAGTTAAAAAGGAAAAGTTCACCATAGATGCAACCTAATTAATGAGCACTGAATTGACTTTGTACTAATATTTTGAAATGAGATTTATTTTCTTGTTTTCCATTTCAGTGTTAATTTGTGTCATTTAATAAATAGTCTGTATGTATCTGTTTCTGGAGACTGTAATTAATTAAGATAATTAACTGAATCAATTCAGAGATACCTTTCCTTGTATTACGTTAAGAAAAACATATACATCTTCCTTCCTCAGTTTAGTATGCCTAATTGGTGTACGATAAATTCACACAGTCATTTTGAATGAAATTTGAATTGGGGGGGGGGTGGTGGTGGTGGTGTGAGGTGAGCCAGGAAGCTATCTGCAGGTAGAATGTTCTTTTTGATATGGTTGCAACTATGAAGCTACATACTTTAGCCAGAATGTCTGAGATCATGAAAATTAGGCTAATGCCATGAATGAGTTGATTTCAATTGATTGCAGTATGCAATCCAACCCACTCACAGAAGCCCATGAATAAGAATTTAATTTAAAATGACAGGTGAAGCATTTGCTCAGCTTTGAACAGAGGATGATGAAGGTGGTTAAAGATATTGTCAGCCCTTGTAAGCTAATTAGATATAGTCCAAAACTGGAACAAAAAAAACCAAAAACAAAACCAAAAAACAACCCCCCTGCCTGACAATTTGGTAGAGGTTTGCTGCCATATGGCCTGAAACTAATGGGTAGTTGTTCTATAACATCAGAACCTATCCAGAATATCTTCAAAGAGCTGTAGAAGTAAGCAGGGAAATGGGAAATAAAACCTAGCATCACAAGTTAAATAGATCTTAACCAGCAATTGAATTCAAGAGGGCAAGTGTTTTCTAATGAGTACTGCATCTTACTCTTCAAAGACCAGTGATTATCTTGCAGTGTTATTTCTCAAGTTGAGTTCACTTTGATGTTAAAATGCATTTGCAGTACGTATCTACATGTATATCTAGTTATTTTTTTATCTATTGTGTCTTTTCTGATGAAGGATCTTAAAACTCTAGGAAATTAGAAGTGTGTTCTGGCTCCCCTTGCACAGGGATGAGATGGGGAGAGATAGGGGGATAAAATTTCTCTTTCTTTTTTTTTTTTTTTTCATCTTAAGCAGCTCCACAGGGATAGAGCTTTTAAGAATTGGGTAGAGTATTTAGCAACACATCATGCACAGCTAAATCATGAGTTCGATGCAAGAGCCTTGCACAAACACGTGTAAGTCCATGTGAGGTTAGCATAACCAAAAAGAAAGTGCTGAGGCACTCTCCCCTAGCTGTTGAGAACACATGTTGTTCTACCCTGGAATTCGTCAAACCACACATGGAAATGTTCTGTCCATCTCTGTCATCTGAAAGAAAGCATGAAGAATAACTACTCCAAGGTAAGCCATGAGACAGGCTATGGCAAGAGCACTCCTTTAAACAGTGGGGCTCAGGGGCTGGGTATGCTGTATTGCTGCAAATAGTGGTGACTAGTGTGTACGTGGGTACACGTTTGTGTCGGGTAGGTTTTAGGATTTGGGGTTTTTTGGTTCTTGCATGCCTGAAACCAAAGATCAAGAAATGGAAACAAAACAGATACGTAAATAGCGCCTCTTCTGTTTTTTTGTTCTTCAGGAAAATAAAGGAAAGTTTGGAGTGCTTTCCTGTTAAACTCAATAACTTGATCCACACACTTGTGCAGATGTCAGTGACGGGCTCTGCAAAGCCTCCAGCTCCAGAGACTGTCCCCCAAGAATGGATGATGCTCGACGCAGAAAAGTCAATCGCAAGAGCCACCATTTTGGGGTTCAACAAAAAGTCTGACTCTGTATGTATTATGTTCTTTTCTTACCCTCATTTGCCTTGATCTTTAACGACTCTTCTGTGAGCTTATGTACTCTCCCTCCTCCTTTATAGAAGATGTGCTTGTGCCACATTAAAAAGGATCACAGTATGAACAGCAGTGCCATAAGCAATGAGCTACCCGAGAGAAAGAACACCAGGCAGACAGCTATTAGCAGGGAGCCATTAAGGAGAACAGTTCATGCCCTATAGTGAAAAATAAATCAAGAGCTAATTAAAGCATCCAGAAGGAAAGCATGGCACAAAATTAGGAAGCCTAATAGAAATCGGAGGCTGTTGTATGACGCTTTAATGGTGCATTATTAGTTTTCACACACTGCAGTGATCTTTCAGTGTTTGAGTTGTATGCTATTCCAGCAAGTTGCTTTTTCTGTGCAGCAAAAACTATAAATTACAAACTGAATTCTCTGGCACTTGGCACTACATTAAAGACAGGTTTTTCTTTGTTAAAATCACCCTTTATTTTCTCTTGTACATTTTTTTTTTTGATGTACCTCTCTGATCATTTCTCTTTTCTGCCTCTCCCTTTTCCCCAATACAGCTGTATCTAGTCCAGGTGGTGCAAACCTGCAATGTGGTCACTTTTGTGGAAAAATCATTCGACCAGTTCTCAAAACTTCACAGCTATCTCCAGAAGCAGTTTCCATCACATGCCCTCCCAGAGTAAGGCAGCATATTAGCGAATGTAATTCTGCTGTTAAATGGTTCTCCCTGTGCACAGATAAAAATGTGAGAAAATGTATGGCAGACATATTTTTAGAAACACAAAGGCAATGCAGCATATTCTATCAAAACTTCTATTCAACCCCAGAAGAAACTGAATCAGTCTAACTTTTATATATATTTATTGTTCCTTTTTTAATGGGAGGAGGAGGGGGGGAAAAACTTGAGCCTGACACAGCTATTCCTGAAATCAAAGGGTAAGTGGTATTGACTTCGTTAAAGGCATGATAGGGCCTTTAATAGTTTTTATTTTCTGCATGATGCTGATCAAAACTCATACAAAAATCCATATATTAAAGCAATGTAGGAATGTTCACACTGGTCAGAACAGAAACAAGCCAATCTCTGACACTGGCAGGCATTATCAACATTTTTACAAAAAGGTGCACATACTCCCCAGCTGAAAAAAGAGGCAATAATCTTACCTACTATTCTGGCCCCAAAACCCGATAACTTTGTACCTTGTATCACTCAGCTTAATATCTCTTGAAGAAAGCACTATCATTATTTGCAATAATTCTGAATATTACTTTTTATCCATGTGCATGCCTATTCCTGCTTTTCATATTCTGAATCTTATTTCTTCACAGTTTCCTGTGACAGTGAGTCCCACAGTTTATTTCTGTCTTATGTAAAAGAGCTTTGCCTTATGTAACGATTGTCAATGGCTTTGGAAATAGAAGTGGAGTTATGTATTCTACAAATATTATATACATTATACTGCATACACCATTGAGAATAAAGTAGTCCTCTCTTAAACAGTCATGCTGACTCACCTCGTACAAGCCCTTCTTCAAGCTAAATCTACAATAAAGCAGAAAACTGGCCAAAAAGACAAGCAGTTTACTTGAACCAAGCAGAGATTCAAGTGACATGCTGGAAACATAGAAAGGTCTTCGATGTTTGACCTGACGTAAATAGCCACAAACAACATGGTTTTGATTTAAAAAATAAAGTCCATGAATTTCAGATCCAAATTTGATGTTCCTCCAAGTTTGTGAGAGGCATTCAGTTAAATGGCTTTAGGTTAGTTAATTCTAGAGAATCTTTCTCCTACCTGAGGGGATTTTGATTGACTCCAGTTTGACTTATGACTAGCTCACATGAACTGGTTTGCAGCAATTGGTGAGAACTGGAATTTCACTAAACACTGAAAGTACTTGAATCATGGTTTTGATTTGGAGATATTTGCACACTAATTATTAGGTTGTAAAATAAAATATTTAACAAGTACCTATTTATGATTTTTTCCTGTGGTGAGCACAACCTTTTGAAGGAAAATACATTTCTCTTTAGAAACGCATATACCTGAGAAACCCTGTAGTGAATTTCAAAAATAGTACTAGCCATTTTTTCAGGTGAATCTACCTTTAATAAAATCCCTCACATTTTAACTGCAAAAGAGAGTTCCAGAGATAACAAAGGGTTAATCTGCCTATACTGAGGCTGTGTCTAAGACCTCCAGAACTTTATTGTCATAATTCAGTCCCTGTCACTGTATGATCTTTCGCCAAGACTGTGTTAAAGTAATTTATTTTATGATGTTTCCATATATGTATGTTCTTTAATGCTAAAGTTTTCATTTGTTTTCTAAGAGAACTTCATCAGTGTGAAGCTTTTCATGTATTCCAGATTTTATTCTAGTAATAAAAAACTAATTATTTCTTTATAGGAAGTTATCACTGAAACTGCCATACCATATCAGACCATTAGTCTGTCTGGGTTACAAAGCTCCAACTCTGGCCGATGTCAGATGCTTCAAAGGAAGGAGAAAACCTTATTCTATAATATAACCACAAAATCAATTTGAAAAAGTACAATTTAAAAGTAAAATGTCTAATATTACTAGAATAATTGGAACTGCTAACAGAAAGGGCTTGGTTACTGCTTTGTATTGGTTCATGAAATTGTATATATTCATGTCTCATCAGGAGGAAATAATGCAATATGAGTCTGCTTCATACAAGTGCTAAATACTGGCTATATTGCAAGAAACTAGTGGCAAAAGCTCAGAGTTCTCAGTGTCTGAAATCTTGCTACTGACATGGAAACATTCAGCCCATATTTATAAGTCAAAGCACAGCTCCCCCAAGCAAGCCCTTGCACTCTAGCACCTTCCCTCTTACTTGGTTTCAGACAGAGCAGTGTTTGTGTTTAATTATTGCTTTTTAAAAGGCCAAAAATCTTTCCACTGAACAAAACATTTCAGTGACCTAATTTATACACAGAATGTTCTTCAAGCTAATAAGCAGGAAATGGAATCTGCAATCCAGGATGTCTGTGAGTGGCACAAGTTTATATTTTTCTGATGTACTTAAGGTAGATGCAAAGCTCAAAATCAGCTTGGGAAGTTAATCTTTTCTAGCACAAGTGTGTTCACAAGTGCAAAGTCAGTTTTAGCCATAGGTGCAACTCAGCAAAAGCATGAAGGCCTTTTAAAGAAGTGTTCAGTACTACTACAAGGTTCATATTGTCCTTCACTGCAGCAGTTATTGATGCTATCAATCAGCAGTTTCTGTGTCCTCTGTTTGGCGACTATGCTTAGGATGCATCTTCTGAGGGCGTACATTTTACAGCCAGAGTCTTCTTTTTGTGTTATACAGTCTAATTAATTTTGAGCTGCTTCCAAACAGATCCTCCCTACCATCTCTTGAAAGAAGTCATTTTTGTGCCCCAGAGGAACTCAGGACATTCATAGGCTATCTGTGTCTACCAAATGACCTGGGCTCTATTTTTATCTGTGCAGCTCATATACGTCATGATCCTGGATCACAGCACTTCCCCCACCTTCATTATATGTTCTGCCTCTGTGATTTCATCAGGCAAGAATCGCCTCTTACTATTCATTTGTACAGCGCCTAACTGAGCCCTGATCTTTCAGTGCTATAGGCAAAAATATTCAAAAGGTCATACCTGCATACAATATGCTGCTATCATCCTGGACTCTCGCTGTTTTAACTGCAGACTAAGTTATACCAGTGCTGAGTTCTTCCGCAGAAGATGGGTAAAGATGGGTAAAGATCTGTCAGCTACTAAAAAGAATTACAGTATCTTGTTAATCAGCATTCTCTTCGTAAAAGGCCTTCTGTTACAAAACAAGCTTAAAAAAGCCCAACCCAACAGGTCTAATTACAGTTCATAAAATCTAATTACTTTCAATGTCTTGGTAACAAAAACTGTGGGTTAATCATCTTCAGTTGTTTTATTTTCACTAGGCGAGGCTGCTATTTGCCATTTTTACAGCTAGGTGGTTTGCAAAGCTGGCCAGTGTGCCTCTCTGGGGATGGATGGGAATCTGGTGCTCCTGTGTTGCTATTTGGCTGGCCTTTGATAAAGCTGATGACACCTTATCACTGAGCTCTGGAACTGGGCAAAACCTGTTCAAAGTAGGATTTGACCAGCTGCCTTTCAAAAGACTGGCCAAGTGTCTCTGTTCAGTGCATTGCACGGCTAGATGGTTCTTTAGTCATTTGTCTGAAGCCTTCAGATATCTCTTGAGATCTAGTGGATAAACAAGGTTGTAGCAGAAAAAAGAGGTTTGTAAACAAGACACGGTTAAATATTTACAGTGGTGGTATAACATGACATACAACCAAATCAAAACTTCTACCTTTCTATATCACCTAGATTAGACAACATAAAGCATAATATTAGTTATGAATCCCAATATTAGCAATGCATATCACAAAATCCATTACATGCAATTTAACACAGATAGTTTTTCCAATGCTCCTTCAACTTGAGAGAGAAATAGTCCTTGTCAGGGCAAGGTTAATATAAATTCATTATGTGTATTGTTAAAAACCTAACCTTTTGACTGATCTAATGTGCATTGTCTCTAAAATGCAAAGATGATTCAAGTAAAAAAATGTGGAGTTTTGACATTTTCAATTACCAAAGCATTTGAAAATTGACATGACAATTCTATACATATGTGGTTTATTTACTAAACTGAAATGAAATTAATCTTAGTAAAAATTCAACAAGAACATTACTATTATTTTTGTTATTCTTTTTGTTGGGATTGATTTTGTTATTGTGACGATCATTTGTTTTCATATATTACTTTTATTACACTAGCGCCTGAAATTACATATGGGATCAGGGACCTGCTCTGATAAACTTATCTACACTCTAAATAGCTGAGGTAAAAAAGCAAGCAATGATATATTCATAAAATGTCACACTGTTGCTGTAAGGCTTTGGTATTCAATATTCTATGATAAGGGTTTGTATAGCATAAACCATGGGATGAGATCAGAGATCTGTTGTGCTGTGCACAGTGCAAAAAATGGAGAGGGTAGTGTTTTCCTGGGATCGTAGAGGGCCAATTTTTTAGAGGTATTTAGATACCATGAAATGCAAATAAGTGCCTTTTAGGTTTTTATTTTATTTTTTTTGAAATTAATGATTTAGACATAAAAAGGGGTACAGTATGAAACATGTATCAGCAAATTATTAGAAGAAGCAGAGTCAGAGGGTAAACAATCCTCTGGACACTGTACCCATCCTTTGCTCTACCTGAAAAACCTCTTAGAAAATGTTAACTTTCTTCTGTTAAATAGAATTGGAAATATTTTCAGCAAATACAGTACAAGAGTTATGCTTACCAATATTCTTCTTTTGCAGGTTTCCCCACTCATGGCATTTACCTTTTACAGATCTTGAACATAAGAGAGTGAAGGATTTGAATCTCTATCTGAAGCGGCTGTTAAGTGGATCCAGGAAACTGGCTAATGTAAGCACCTCCAGTATTTATGTTAATTGCATATGACTTTTAGTAGTGTTGTACCAAAAGATTCAGGAAGCTTTCCATGGCCTCATTTAGGAAAAAAAAATAAATTGCATAAATGACGTGTCTTCTAATGTGGCCATATTGAGATGAAGCCATTGTAGAATTCAGCAGAACTTAAGACAAAAACAAGAATGACTGAAAAATAGTTTATTAGACCTGGCAGGGTATTTTTCAAAAAAACTTCTCTTCCTTTGCTGCCATCCAAAAGCAGTGATTCACTGAATTTTTGACAGTAAGTAGGTTCTGAGGAATGTAATATCTAAAAAAGGAGTAAGTTTTGAAATATTGAAAAGTCTGATTTTGACAGGTTTTAAATGAAAATTTCCATTTTTTCAGCCCAGAAATACTCTCCATTTCAAAATTTAGTTCACATGTAAAAGAAATTGTTTTGCAAACATGACCAAAACCAGAATGTTTCAGTATTACCAGAATGACACACTGCATCCATTAAAATTGTTGAAACTAATTTTTTATTCATTATTGTTTTCTGAGTTTTGATGTTCTCCTCCTGTTTCAAGATGGAAAGTTGAAATGGTGACAAACACTGGCTCTTCATTGTCTGGCCCAGGACAAAGCCTTATGCACCTCAGCATTGTAAAAGCCAGGGCCAAGAGCAACTAACACTCTCCATGCATCCTGGGAGGGTGTTAAATCATTACACCGTGTCACTTTGGAAGTTGAGTGATCAAATACTGATAGTGAAACCAGGCTCTGAGAGAAAGGAACATCTTCCAGTGACCAGCCGTTGTCAAGAAAGCTGTCAGGTAGGCAGGAAAAAATGGTGGTTTACATTAGATCCTAGGCTTACGTAGGGGCTAGTAAATTCAAGGGAGCCAAGGCACGAGCTTGTGTGTTGACCCTGCTGATTCACTGTTGGCACGTTCTCTAGCAGAGCTTGGGCCTCTGCCAGGTGAGCCATGTCATGTCCCGTGGCCTCAGGGCCATAGCACAAACTGGGGCTGGTTTGATTTAATAGCGTAGACAGTCAAAAGAGGGTATGACAGGATGTTTTTTCTCAAAGATTTCAAACATCTTGCAGGATGAAAAATGTTTGCTACCTAACTATGTAACTTCCCCAGCTGTGACTGTGTAATGGAGATTAAAGAGAAAATTGTCCATACGTAAAACAAACAGGAGTTTTCTTATTAATATGAATACAAATTCTGTGCTCTGAGTTGAAATTGAGATGATTTCCAAAGAGGATAGATAATATCTGTCTCCCAGAGTTACATTTAATTTGGTATGGACAGCTGACTTGGGTATTTGGCTCCCTTGACTGACCTTGTAAATAAACTGCACAAGTTGGGGTTAATTGTTGTGCAATTTCTGTCACTCACGTGAGGGTCATGGGTTTGTTTTACTTTAGCGCCTTTTGGTCACAGCTGAGGGAAAACTGATGACCTAGAAATTAAGAGCTCTGTATCTTCTGCTATGCTCTGGGCTGCTGTAAGGTACATGGATTTTCAATTTGGGCCAAGCACTACTGTGTAGAAGCCTAATCTATGGTTGAAAAATTAGACTGCTTAAAGCCTTGGCATAGTAGTAAAAACATTTCCCAGTCACACGCAGAAGCTCTCTTCTCCCTACTGCTCCATGGTCCATGAATGGGCTAGTGATCAGCCAGAGCATGCTGCATTGCAATGAGCTTCCTAATGCCTTTCCTTCTCCCTTTATGGTCCTGCAGCGTGCACCAGTGGGACTGGGTAAGTTCTACCAGCACATTGCTCCTGGAACACTGGGAAACCATGAGTAGGGTATTCATAGGGAATGGTGGACAGATCTGCTTGGAGACATATGCTGGTGTGGCTCTGAACTAGCCCGGTGGGGCTATTCAGACATGCTGGGCTATGCAGTTGCTGAAAACTGTTCCAGTTTGGTACAGCCTATAGTCCTGAACCATGAGGAAAAGAAAATAATTTTGTACCCAGAAAGGCTGCACAGCTACTGGTTTGCTGGACTTGGAGGGCACAATAGTAAATAGGGTAATGAGCAGATTGTTTCCATCTGTAAAGTACTATTGCATGTGGGAAATCATCTTGCTTACCACCATGCAGCTAGCCTGCAATTCTAGATGATAACCTTTAAAGTTATTGATACTCTATAAACACTTAATCATTATTTTTACTTCAATATACTTCTCCTGCTGGGAGATGTGAGAAATTTAGAAAATACTGACGTGTTCTGACCCACTTAGAACAAGGAGACCAGTCAGTGGGTAATTTCCTTTGTATTCCCAGCTGAAGGCTTCTTTTTTACTTTTCCCTTTGGTATGACTCTTTTAAAATTGTCATGGTGTCTTCTTGGTTTTACTCTGAGCAGAAAACCAAGCTAGGAGGCTTTCTTGATAAAAATAAATACAATTATTTTGTCTTTCTTCATGTCTTTGACAACTTTGAAATCAAATTTGTACTTTTTCTCAAATTGCTAGGGAGCCTGACCAAAACCATTTAGTGAGTTGTCTGTTCTCAAGCATTACCAAACTATCATTCCTATGAAATAGTAAAACTATGTAGGAATAAATAATTAATTCAGAAATTTGTGAAGAAATCTTGTAAGAGCAGATGCATGTAGAACAGGGTTCCCTTTACTTTCTTGATACAGTAATTTCTTTCTGCTGAATTGTACCTGTATGGTACTGTAGCTGCATTGTAGCTATATGGTATGCTGGAGTATTGTCAGAAATAGAGAGAAAAGCTTTCATTTTGTTATAAAATACCATTGTTATCACTGTAAACACATTTCTCTGATTGACTAGGCACTATTTTCAGCTCTGAAAAGTTTAGTCCAGTCCACACAGGACTGACTGCACACTTGGTTGTACCAATTAAGTAATTAAAAATCCTAGAAATGGAGAAAGAATTGGATTATACCCAAATTCCTTCCTTAGTCATGCCTTAAGTGCATGCTTTTAAGTCCAGACTAAGTTCTGATTATGCAGATTGTGTTACAATTAAGAGTAGGTCAAAATGTCACTGACCTTTTCTGCTAAATTATTTGAATGGAGGAGGAGAGGTGGAAAATAGCTGCCTTCTCATTTGCACTGTAGCTCAAATGGAATTAAATATTTCTTTAAACCTTCTTTAAAGAATAGAAACTTCAAGCTATCTTTCTCTGTCTCTGAATTTTAGTATCAGATCCAATAAATGCAGAAACATCAGCTAGCTGAGATATTTGCTGTTGGGCTGGTTAAATGCTTAAATATTCTCATGCCTGTCCCTATTCAAAGCAGTTTTTTAAGTCTATGGTTTACTTTGAGCATAAATCTCATTCATTGACTTTCTCTTAGGCATTCATTGAAGAGTTGCCTAGAATAGGAATGCTTTTCCTAAATTCAGGTTAACATTCGGTTATAAATAACTACACCACCAGACTATATACATGAACAACAAGCTATATTCATTACATCAACCACTAAAATGCAAAAGTTGATGCAACTTCATCATCATATTGAGTCATTTAGGACAGGATCAAAAAACAGGTTTTAGCACTTTTTTTAGTTTCATTCTACTCCTTCCAACCAGTAGCAATGCATATGATCACACTGTAAGAATACTTAGTTTTGTGCCAGTTGCACCATTGCTGACTGGCTCATCAGCTGCATGCATTGAAATGCCTGGGTCTTGTAGATCAGCAAGGCAAGATACTCAACAATTTAGACTCCTGGAGTTTTGCTTCATTAAATGGCAAAACAACCAAGTGATGTCACCAATAAGAGGTGAAGCATCAAGAAAAAATAAATTGAAGGCTGGTAACATGGAGGACAAACATATACATTATCAAAGTATAAATCAAATCGGTGACAAAAGGCAGCTGCTGCTGACCACTTTTACATTTTTCTCTATTTCACTCTTAACTCCAACTGAGTGACGGGCTGAATGGAGATTGCAGCCCAAATCTTATAGCTTACCATATAAATTAGGGCTTCCCTAGTGGCTTGTCATTTTACTGCTGTATTGTAGGAGGGTTGTACACTCCCTGGGGACACAAAGGCAAGGTAAGGCTCCATTAATTTAGTCTGCTCTTGGCCCTGTTGTCAAACAGCAGCATTCACAAAGCTGAATGTCTTCATGCTTATATTGGAAAGACAACTTGCACCTGGCTTGAGCATTACAAGTGAAAAATGTAAAACTGAATCGAAAACAATGTTCTATGTAGCAACTGTGTGCATTTGGTACCATCAGCCAGCTAGCAACATTCTGTGGATAATCTTACCATCTCTCATCATTTAAAAGAAGTGGCATTTCATTTGTGGATATTGTTATTCATAACACAGCTCAGACTCTAGATGTACATCCTGATCTTGCAAAACTACATAGCCTTAAATAAAAACATGTTATTTGTCCCACATCTTTCACATGTTTAAGGGGGTTTGTTTGTCATGATGGGTGTGTTTGGCAAACATAATAGTAAATGCAGGTGCACAGTAGGCTAATCAGTAAAAAGAAATTAGATATATTGGGTTTTGACTCTGTAAAAATTTTCTAAGTGTCCAAGTTAACTAAGGACTTTGGGGCCAAAGATAAACCTAGTGCAAGCAGGAAAGCAAACAGTGAGTTGTATCAGCTATGGAGAGGTTCCATAAACAGCTTTATGGTGACTCATAGGCTGTGTGAAAGGGCTTTAAAGAGGATGTAAATGGAAATTATTGTATGTTACGTTCACTCATTTTCAAGCATACAGTGAAAACCAGGACCACAGCATTGTTCTAGAGTGACTGATGTTTTACACTATAAAAGAAATCAAGTTTGATAAGAGCTTCCCGTATTTCATTTGTATTTTATTCACTGGTGCTACTTGGGATTTGCAGAGGTGAGAAGATAGCTCCTGCAGTGCCCATATGGAGGCACATAACGCGGTAGTACAAAGTGCACCCAAGGTATGTGGGTCCCTTAAACTCCCACCACTCCTGTGCTCCTGCAGCAAGGCATCCAGCAGAGCCAAAATGGGGAAGGTTCAAAGTCCTCTCTTTTCCACTGTCCTTTCCTGAAGTTATAATAGCTGCAGCAAGGTCAGCTTTTTCTGGTTTCTTTCTTTCCTACCATCCTGTTAAAGTGTAACAGGTGCATGGGTGTTCTCTGACCTCAAATCTACTCTAACACAGCTGAAAAGAAAGCTGAAAGCAGAGGAGAGGCTGCTTTTCTTTCTAACGAAATTAAATCTGGCTTGAAATCTGGCTGTGTTTCACTAACAGCAGCGTGCTTTTCCAGTTAGTCTTTAATGAAGAGCAGTAGACAAATTCTACCATGCTACAGTAGTGCAGAGCTGTGCCAGCTCCCCCAATGCCACTGAAATTGCTTATTCCAGTTGTATCCTAGTGTAGGTAAAGGTGGAATTTGTCCCTTTTGAATTTAATGGCTGAAAAAAGGTCATGTGTGAGTTCTAGCCAGACCAACACTGATGCACCCACATACCTGGCTGCTCCCCAGTAGGGTAATGTTATTGAGTGACCTGGAAAAATATCAGCATTATTAAAGATTGTTGTCTTATTAGGTAAGAGGGGTTAGACAAATGATAGGAGGCTTTCCTAAAAATCCTTAAATGGGCAGTATTTTAGGGAATTTTCATTTACTGATTTAAAGGTAAGAATTCCAGGGGAAAAAAGGATAGGTGAGTGCTTGTGGTCGTCCTCAGTGCCTGCCAAGACAGTCACAGGGTCCCTGAGATTCCCACCTATGGTCACATGCTTGTAACAACCATTACTTGTTTAGAAGTGGACCCTATCCACCTAAATACAGTGCGCTTTTGATCATACGTGTGTTCAAAGCTCTGATATGCCTATTTCTATTTTGCAGTGTAATTAAACACATGCCCAATTCTAAGCATACGCTTCAATCCCATTGACTGGAGTCCAATTGACTGAAGTCCCATTTATTTAGGAATCACCTGAAAGTTCAGTGTGTCCTTTGGTGGTGTCCTGACAAAGGATGAACTTAAGAAGGTACTTACACACTTCGCTGATGGAAATCTAAACAATGGAGTCTGGCAGCAGGCAGATTAACACAGTTCAGGAAGAAATTGCTGTCTTATATGAATAACACTGTGCAAAATGCTTATTGCCACAAACATGTAGGAGATCTCCCCCGTTATGTTTGAAGTACTTTGCCCTGGATAGAACGCTACATCTGCCGCTGCAACATGACCTGTTTAATTATGTTTTTGCATCCCATTTGCCAGCATTAGCCTTGCTGCTTCCCCACATTCTTCAACACCTGTTGAGTACAATGGACACACAGACAGGGAAAGCTTTGAAACCAGTGCTGTGGCACCAGCAGCATACATGCCTGTCACGTTCATGCCTGATGTAAGATCTGCACGAATTCCACTCCTGTACTTAAAACAAATGTCTTTTTTTTTTTTTCAGAGTGTTGTCTCAATCTTTGTGTGTCCTGTTTACAAACCTCTCTGTTCATATATTTCCATTTATTGCTGAAAGAGTAAGTGGAGAGGAAGCGAAACACCAGGCTGCTCAGTGTGGAATTTTTTATTTCTCTTTCAAGTCAGTTAGTGTATCCTTCCTTCTACCTCCTGCCCACTTCTCTCAAGATCTTTGAACTGGAAGGGCTGCTTAAGTTTCTCTGCTTATTTTCATGCTGTCAAATAAAGACTGAGCTGCCAAAAAACCTTGAGATTTCCTACGCTTGGGACTTGTGCTGAAAGAACAAATGGAGGTCCCACAGGGAATAACTTGGCTTTGACAGTTACTGGAAGCTGAAGCAGGTGTGTAGGCTTTCCCCTGTAAGCTATCTTCACGAGATGAGACAATAATTGTCGTGGTCAGAAGAGACAGGTATATTCACAATCCACTGCTAATAGCTTAAGGATTTGTCATTCAATTCAAGGAAAACAATTCTGTTGGTTTATTCTTTTTTTTTTTCCCCCGATTTTTCTTTAAAGAAAATATCAGTGTGGGAGGAAAAACTCCAAACAGTAGAATGAAAAATAAAAGGCAACTGCTAAAATAAATCCAGATTGCTAAATCTTATTTCTATGCTGAGCGCACACATCTTTCTCCTCTGCCTGCTGTAACCATGTTAACTCCTCACTAGCTGCGTTTGTCACTAAACTCTTCCTTTTCTTTTTCCCTTGCACAAATCATGCCACATCTTGTCAATTGAAACAAGACAAATGCTACAGGAAGTGCATTATTTTCCATGGCCTGGAAAAAAACAATGGTGACATTTTAATGCTTGAATCTGAAAAGTCTCTTGTTCTACTCATTCATTACAGTGTCAGTCCAAGTAACATCAGTATGAATGCAGCAATTCTAACCGTCTTAAAGAATCGCCATTCTGAAATATGGCTTTATGAACAAAGCTGATAAAATGCAATTACTATCCACCTTTGAGTCAGAATCTTAAGAGTCCATTTCAGAATTCACATTTTTATTGCCTTGCACAATACCCAAACTGGGGATTTGGTTTATTGTTTTAATTCTTTACAGCTGAATGTAACTACCTGTAATATATGTTCACTAGAGCAGTACAGGTCAGTACATAAATGTAAGTTATAGTGCAGTACATAAGGTGGATTACTCTCTTAAACAGGATGGCGAAATATGATCGTCCCTTTCACTCCCCATTGGTTTCTGGTAGGAGTTAACTCTGTATGGAGCTTTTCAGTGTGAGTGTCCATTAAGCTACCATGGGAAGGAGGTACGTGCAATATACCTCAGGGAGGCACACATCAGGTCAGATGCTTGGGGTCGGTCCTGTGCCAGGGGTGAATTTCATGCTGACTACAGAATACACAGTAAAGATGTTGTCCTGCATTTGTTTCACAGATGGGCTGCTCTGTAAAAGTAGTTGCAGCTGCTAATACATATCTTGAGACACTGGAGATCAAACAGGAATGCAAATCAATGGCCCATGTGGCACATTGCTGTTTGGAAGTGTGTTGACAGAAAGGGGCCAGGTAGGTACCAGTGCAGCATCCCTGAGCCAGTGGTGAGGGGCACCATTGTCTTCCCAGTGCCTGAGCAGAAATAGTTCCCTGGGGTCCTTGCCCATGATCAGAGAGGAAAGGCTCTGCTTTATTGCTAACTCTAATATATACATTAGAAACCTACCAGCAATCTGCTTGGAGGGGAATAATTTAAGGAATAGTGCACAACATATGATATTCCCTAAAGTATATTTCTTTTCTTTCAGAATGAGCTTGTACTCAACTTCTTCCTGAATTGGTCCAAAAATAAGCTGGCAGAAGATTCATCATCTGTGACCTTAGGTATGTGGATTACCAATCTTATTTGCTTTCTAAGATGGACTTCTTTAATAATATTAAATATGATAATGCAAAGATGAGTCTAAAATGTTTAGGTGTCTTTTTTTTTGAAGATATAAAGGTCCAACAAGTAATTCCTGATTTCTCAAGGTCTCTGACAATGTGTTACTAATGTGACCTGTAGCTTTCTTTCACTTTGATGTATTGTCCTCAGCCTTGCTTAATTTCTTGATGTTCTTGATATTCTATGAATAAACATACCTATATCCAAAGTATTTACACAAACTGTGGCAGGTTTCTTGTTTTACAAAATAAAATCTTCAGAGAAGAATCTGGAGGAAAGGATCTGAGTCATGACACAGCACAATGTGTGCTTGGACAAAGAAAGAAAATCAGAGATGACTTCTAAAGTCATTTTCACAATGAGTGGAGCAGGTAAATAACAGAACATTATGTTAATGCCTAGGGATATATTATTAATGATAGTGGTAATTCACTTCTTATAAATGAGATTCTGCACTGTTCCCTTAGCCTATCTAAATACTTCACCCATTTCCCTCTTCTGTCCAGCACCTAATTTAATCTAATCTCTGGCATTGCAGCATTAAGAGCCAAAGCATAAACCATAAAATGTAAACTGTGAATGATTATTGTCTTCCACTGCACTAGTTCTGGACTGAAAATAATCTTCTATAGTCAATTTTTAGGCAAAATAAAATCTCATAGAGAAGCTTGTAGCTGCACTCTGCACAACAATTCAGCTGGTTGTTATGTGCGCCAAGTGATAGGATAGTTTCCAAGATCACCAGTTATCCACATTTCAGAAAGGAGTGCAAGTATCTCTGCATATTTAGTTTGCATGTCCATTAAATTAATTTAATCTCTCTGCAGACAGGGGCTTCATTATCTCTTTTTCTGGGACGTTTTTTTTTAATCCATTAGAACAAAATAAATCCCATTCTGGCTTCTCAGCCTTTGGAAGATTCCCCCTGTGTAAAGTTTATTTGATTAGGACATGCCATTATCATATTAAAGTCATTATGACTATTGGAAATTACTAATGGTTGCTCTAACTTTTACAGAGGAACAAGGAGATAATGCAAAGATGTCCTAGGTGTTAGGAGTATACAAGGCTAAATCTTGTCACAGAAAATCCAAACCAGAGTTTAAATGTAACAGGTAGTCTTCGTCCATGGGCTGCCTCTCTCTGTAGACTCTTTAAGCAAAGATGCAGACATGTGAGAATGAGCTGTGGCATAAGGGGGTTAAAGTCCCAGATCTTTAGAAGGATTTTGACATTTCGCTATATTTAGGTGCCTAATTATTACAGAGAATCTGGGTGTAAAAGTCTTATGCAGAAGCATGAACTGAGTCTGTAATAAAGTTGAGAAATAAATTACAGCCTCATAATTCCTACAGCAGTGTCCCAAGCCAATATAACCTGAAGGGTAAGCCCTTTAATTTTTTTGTCAATGACATCAAAATCAAAGAAGAGAATAAAGAAACATAGGTAAGAATGTGTTTAGTGGGTGTTTCTTGAAAGCTATGTGACAGGTAACCCAAACTGCTAGTTCACTATACAGTTAGCGGAGATGAAGGTCACAGTCTGGTTGGGGAGATTAATGTGTCGCTGGCCTCAAGCAGTATGGTTACAGAGGGATTATTTTTTTCTTGCTCAGGAACTCTGCCTTTTAAAGTTTGGACACTCAGGGCAAAACCTTTGTTTAACACAGGGGAAAATAAAAAAAAAAAACCACAAACACAAAAAACCCACCTTCCTTTGGCCTAGAAAATTCATCGCTATCATTTCTTGGTAGAATATCAGTAGCACACAAGGTCCAAATCAGGACCCAATGAGTTTAGACTCTGTAAAAACAGAGGACAAGAATAATGGTTGCTCTGGACATGGCACGACTTCTGGTCAGTGAGGAAGGGAATGCACCTGGTCAGCAGTCGATTGCAGTGAACTGTGGAAGCAGGTGAGCTTAGCTGTAAATGAGCTAGGTCAGCTATCAGAGGAAGACCAGCCATGCACGTGCTAATTACCCACCTGAAAAATTATTTTCATATATATTAGTTTACACTTCACCCCTCATTGTTGGAGTTAAGCTGCTGACAACCCTAGCTAGCTCACTTAGATCTTGGCTGCATGGCATTCTGCACCCTATTATCATCTGTCCTGTGAGAAGACGACCCAAGTCTGGCTAAGGCAGGAGGTGACTGATCATGCCAAGTTGCCAGGTAGCAAACAAGGAGCTGCTGGGAAGAGCACAGTGACCCTGGAGGCTCTTGTTTGCTGAGGGTGCCCTGAGACACTCTTGATTTGAAAGTAAGCCGTGTAGTAATGCCATAGACAGTGTGGGGCAGGAATTAAGTTCACTGAGCTTGCAGGAGAGAGGCAATTTCTATGAAAAGAATAACTCCTTCCCCCACAGCTTTCATTGCTTTATGAGCTTATTAAGGACCTTAGTTTTTGGCTGTTTTGAAGAACAACTCCAGTTTAATATGGGCTGTAGCTTTCCATGAATCTGGTGATTTCTCTCTCAGACTTTACGCAAGAAAATCATCCATCTCTTAGTTAGGATCAATATAAAATGAAATGAATGCTCAACAGAAGCAGGTTATGAATTTTGATCAAGACAGCATCTTTCTCTTACACTGCTTTAATTTATAAATGTTGTAGGTAATTACATTTACTAAAGTAAAATAAAAATTAAAATTTATGAATTTGTACTGTGCTCCTAGCAATGAAGAGATTAAAAATCAGTGCTAAATTTACTTTGACATGAATACTGATTCACTACTCTCAGTGGGGTGAATTCTGAATTATACTGAATATTGTCAGCATTTCATTATACCGAGCTCCCTACAAGGGAATGAGAGCAGGTATCAGGAACAATTTCACAGACAGACTTTTATAAAGGCCCTTTAAAAAAAGGAAGAAAGAAAATCTATCAAAAACATTTTTATATCAGCCTTGTTTATTTTTCTTCTCTTGAGTTTATATCTCCTGAAAATATTAATAATTCAGACTGTTTTGCCAATGTTATGAAATCATGAAGTCTTTGCTATTGGTTATAACAGTGCACAACCCAGTTCCAGTTCTGGCATGTTTGATTAGCGCTTCATGCATTTCAATGGGTTTCTGTCCATTTAGTGTGGTAGAGAAACTGGCTCTGTGTCCTTCTAAAGGAAGATCCAAGCTTTCCGAAAAGACTGTCATACAGTATGCCTCTCCATGCTGAATCACAGTCTTCATGAATAGTCCCGGAGGAGAGTAGGCTATTTTGCTCATGTTACGTGGTGTTTTGATCTGCTGCAGTTGCTCATTCTCGATGTAAAGCTTTTGCCACAAGTTGCATTCCTACTTTAGTTGCATTTAGGCTGTTTTGCTGGCCATACACACCTCTTGCTGGCTAGAAGGATGAAACCAGTGAGATAATCAGTTAGTGTATTTACAGCTGACTATCTGAAGTTGGATACATTGGAAGCTTGTAAACTCAAGCTGTAGCTAAAGCAGGCAGATGGTTGGCTTGGGGCAGTCAACTCTGGCCCTGGAAACCAAACAAGTTCCAGTACCCTTTGGTGCCAGATATCAAAACAGGCTGTCACCAAAAAGAAAGGTCTAAGAAAAATCTGAGGGTGCAGAATACAGAATAATACTTAACTCCCTAATGGTAGTGCTGTGACACTTAGTCAATTAGTGTTTTCACATTGCTTTGCAGTCCATGTGTGACATGCAATGTATTATTAAATTATAGTTTCCCTATTGATTTTGTCAGTCTTCTGCGTAGCATCTTCCTTGTTGTTTGTGTTTCTCACGCGTTGTGCAAAGTGTAATGCAGACCTGATTTTAAAACGCTGGTATTGAAAACATTGTCCAACTGATAGAATATGGAGCTGATAGGAGACCAACATGCTAGAAAAGACTGTCTAGATAAAGAAAAGAACTACATACTTGACTACTCTGAAGATCATTCCACCTTCAGAAGAAATTTGAACATTAATTGCCTCAATTTTGTCCTTCAAAAAGAAGAAAGGACCCACAGTTTTCTACTGTTTATGTTCCTTAATAGAAGAGATTATAAACTGGTAGTGTTTGAGTTTTTCTGCAGTAGGGATTGATGGCTGACTTCCACTGCAGAGTGCTGGGACACACAGGCAGAATTCATATAGAAAAGTGCTAGGAGCACTCCAGGATCCTCGTTTGGCATTTGACAGCTTTTGCAGTGACAGCAGTGAGCGAAGAATGAATCCCTGGGAGGGAAATCTTGCTTCAGCTGGAGTCAGTGGAGCTTTGTCCTGTAGGTACAACAGACCAGCATTTGGTCTTTACCTATAATGGAGTGCAAGTAGAGCATGACAGTTCATAAAAATGCAGGGCCTGAGCTCAAGTCCATCTCCCCAAGCTGGATAGACTGGAAGTAATTGTTGTATGTGTATTTTGTTATAATTTGAAGCTAAAATCAACTAGACTTCAAAGAGGCTATGACTTAGCACTGAATGGGGGAAAACCTAAAATATAACAGCTGAATGTAGCTAACAGTAACTATCTTTTACTATGAAATATAAGTGATAGAAGTTTCTTCCATATTTATCAGATTCCCTGCACTCTTATTTTTTTCTTTTCCTTCCTTTTAATTTTTTTATTTTTTTCCATTAGTACTCAATTTATTACATAGGAAAAGCAAATATTTTAGTAATAGCCATGCCCATAGTGTCTGTTTCAGACTTCATTTTACATACTCAATTAGAAATGCATTTTCCCCTCCCATGTTTTTCATTATTTTCAGCTTAGTTAGAAATTTATTTACATTTGTTTTTTTCTAAATGAAAAGACTAATTCCCACAGAGAAATTCCTTGACTGGATATATGCAATCACACTATAAAATTTAAGCAATGCAGAAAAAGACGCTGGTGACAGGGGAAAGGCATGGTGTTCAGCTGAATTCTAACAATGTAGTTTAGCCTCTGAAATCTGTTGCTCTTGCTGAACTGCTCAGGATGACCTATTGCAATTCACAAAATTAGCAGAGCCCTGCAAGTGAATTGTGCCCTTATGTTAAAACATGATTCCCCTTGTGTTTAATGGTCTAGGATTCTACCTTTCCTGTTGCAACTTAAAGAAAAAAGGACATAGAGCTTAAAAAAAAAATATGGTAAAATGGCTTTGCATGATGGTGGGAAGAACTGATTTTCGTGAGCTTTTTGATACCCTGGAAAAAACTTGGCATTGTCTGGTTCATGGAGTTTTCATCCCCTACCCTTCGCTGTCCTTATTTGCATACAATGAGAAATGAAATAAGGTACAGTTTGGCTAAGTGATTTGTCAGAGTTCGTAAAGGAGAATAACAAATGAAGAACTGCACCTCGGTCTTCTAAGTCCCAGCTTAATGATCTCTTCATAAGGTTTCAATTCTTCAAAAGTCTGTTTCAGACCCTTCTCTAATTAGGATGTGATTAAAAATGTATTTTTGTAGTCTCTAAAGGGAAGAAATTGGAGATGGATTCATATTCTAAAATTCCAGTCCAAACATCAGAAACTCAGAAGTGTTGATAGCCAGGCTGCCTAGAAAAATTATATTACGGTATTCGTATGTATACACTGTGTTATTTTTAAATAATTTTAACTCCTTTCCTTAGGATAAATGGCAATTACAGTAGCTGTCTGGCTGTTGATAGTACATGACACCACTGTAATTTTCTCTGCTTAACAAGTTATTTTAGCCTCTGTTCACTCCAGAGGTTACACATTTGGTTTCTTCAGAAAAATACAGCCAATGTGGCTTATTCATTATAATTTCCCATTCTCTGCTGAACAACAGAGTAAAAGCTGAGGAGAGGGAGTTTGATTTCTTGTTTCTTACAACCCTGGCTGTAAGAGCGCTGGTGCACATGTGGAAAAGAGAGAGCAGGAGCGCGACAGAGAGTGCACAGGTGTCGGCTGAGGTGGAAAGGAATGCCTGCTATTGAGGATGAACAGTCCCAATACTCACTAAAAAACCTCTTGCTAGTGTGTCACCCTCGCATGTGATGATAGTTCTTTCATTCTCATAATTCTTTCTCATTCCTTCTACTTCTTAAAAGATGTATTTCTATTTAAAGAATTGACTATGACTGTATTGTTTTGTCTCATGTATTTATCTCACCCTATGCTGCGTTTGTCAGTGGCAGATCCCAACGTGCATGCAGGGAAGCAGCACTTTTCTGTCTAGAGGTCTCAAGGTCAGCTACTTCTTTAACAGGGAGATGGGCAGAACAGAGCCCAGCTCATGAGAGCGCACTATTTTGTCATAAGGTTAGCAGGATTGAGTTCTTATTCTTCCCAGTGTAGTAAATATATAATACTGGTTGTAACACAGCTTTGATCTAATGAAATGAAGCCCTGTTTGCATTAGTAAAACCAGGGTAGTTCATAGAGGCAGCGTCTGGACTGTCTTTGATGATGACCACGTGGGGAGAGCCCTGGGTGGTACAAGTGGTGCAAAATGGCTCATGTCCACCCTGCTCAGGCTTAACACTGCAAAATAAGAAGGTCAGATAGATAGCAAGGAGGGGTTGTTGTGTTCACTGTTACCTGGCACACTGTGGTAAAAACCATCTTTATTTTCTCTGCTGTCTCTGTGGGGCAGGTAAGCCACATTACTTACCGAAGCTCAAGGACACACCTTTTTGGCAGTGAAGACAGCTGACTCAACGCCTCCAGCAGAAAGAAGGAAGAAGACATGCTTAGTCATTTCTCCTATATTATGAGACTGATTCTTCTTGCTTGGAAAATGAAAGATGTTTTTTTCAGTGGGAACATTATCAAACTCCATAAATGCATCTTAGTAGAAAAATCTATGAAAGCAATGGGTTGTATGAAAACCAGCCTGGAACAGGAAGAATACAGAATGAGAAAGGGAGAATTTATATATGATAGATATAGATGTTGTTTCTGTAACAGTTGTTTTGGAACTGGTCTGGAAACTTGCTCTTTTTTTCTTTTTTTTTTTTCCTTTCTGCTAGGAACTGGAAAAAAAAATAATCCAATGTTTTTAACCAGACAGAATAATTGCAACAATACTGACTAATGTCATCAATGATTGTCAAAAATTCAACCCCCTTATTTGTTACTCAAGCATAAATTTCCCACTGAAATTCAGATTGATGGCAATTAGAAAACAAAAAATCTCACTGTCAACGTATACACAATGTCAGGCCACTTTCTTCCATCACACTCCTTATCCGTGTTCTCTAATTTAATCCCTGATTGAAGCATGCAATAGGTTCTTTTTATATATTAGTTCATGTGCAATGTAATATTTTACAGATGTACTTCCACTGAGCTGTTAACTAAAAAATCAAACTATCTGGCCTTTTTTAGGTCCTCAGTCAGCTGATCATAAGCCTGGAGTACAATTAGTCATATCCTACGAGAGCACCCGTCTGACAATAATGTTGAAACACATGAGGAATATTGTGAGTATTTTTATCATAATCTGTAACTTGTAAGTCTTTACATTTGTAGAGTACTGTGAAAACATTAATCCTCAAACACCCTTTCTGGGATAACTAATTTTAACTCAAAACAACGATGATGATGTTCTGTTGTCATTTAACACTTGCTTTCTTCCTTTGAGCTTGCTCAATATGATTATATGTATGAGACAGATACTAAAACTGAATTTCCTTAACAGCTGGTGATGGCTTTTTCCAGATCATATAGAAAACCGTTTTTGATTACTGTTTTGGCCCTTTCAGCTGACGCATTTCGATACCAGTCAGACATAAGGCATCATGCAGCATGACTTTTTGTAGGATGTCAGCCTGGTGTTATTAATTGATTATCCATACATGTCTTTCAAGTTTGGCACGACTGGTCTATGAAGAGCGCGCAGAGAGAGTAGTGGTGTATTTTAAGAAGCAGTGTCTTCTGGTGGGGTGATGCTCAGCTTTGTAACGTGCCCTCTGTCATGAGGCTAAGTAGCTGTGCATTCCTGGAGCCAGACTATGAGAGGGGGAAGCTGGCAGCGCTCCCACAGCACAAGACAGGTGAAATTGTCTGATGAGGATATCTTGAGAGATCTGGCTGGTGCCGTGGGCGATCTCTTGGCTGAAACAGCGTGTCTGCTGTTTCATAATGAGTTAGACCGCCTAGATGTGCTCTTGAATTCCCAATTGCTCAAGTCTCAAGTAATGGCTGTGGCAAAGAGATCCTTCACTATCTTTGTTTAGCTAGGAGATTAAAGCATTTATTAACTGTTGAGGGTTCTCATTGCATACACTGATGCCGCCTCCATCCCAAACTGGATTGCAATCCCTTTCCCTAAAAGGGGCCAAACTGGGGAGCTTATGTGAGCACAGCCAGTAATAAAATGAGGCTGAATGTTTAATTAGTTGTATGAGACACATGAGGCTTACATAGCTCCAACTATTCTCTCTTGGCCGCTCTGGCTTCTGATTTGCAATTCAAGCATATTCATTTTGGTCTATACATCCAATAAGTCTCTGTCCTGAGAGACTTGTCGTTTGTTTCCTGTGTGCCACCTTGACAGGTGAGATCAGCCTCTGCTGACAGGTCAAATTTACACAAACTTTACCTTCAGGATATAGTATAAGACCCTCTTCATTTTTTCTATTGTGTTTTTTAAAGCTAAGTGACTTTGATAAACTTCTGGTAAAGTTCTGGATGGTGGGAGGGTATATTTAAGTGATTGCCATGCTGATGATGTCACTGTGAGTTCAGGCAGGTGATGTGGAGCTGTGCACAAACAGAGCTACAGATGTCAGAAATAGTCTTTCTCCTTGTTTCCATCATTTTAAGTGTATAGGCTCCTAACTGTGTTCTTTAACTTATAAAGTTTCAACCATTTAATTAAAAGAAAATAAATTACAGCATAGATAGCTGTGTACAGCAAACATAAAATGCAGGGTTCAGTTAATTTCATTCTGGAAAGGGACAATATGACTTGAAGTTATTGTCTAGCTTTTGAAAGAGATTTTAAATCCATTTTAGTGAGTTTGCAGAGAAGTGGCAGGAGTCCAAGTCAGTAAGACTAGCAATGATTCATGACTTGAAAATAAGGTCATTGTTTTAGCAGCCTAACTTAGGCAATCGTTTTTCAACCCTGGGCTTCCGATTCCTTCCTTCCATCTGGCCATCCATCCGTCATCATCTGATCTGAAATATGAAATAGGAGTGCTGCGGGATATTGTGATACTGGACTGCCTTCAGAGTAGTAACCTATAACAGAAAGGTTTTTTATCCCATTAGTAATCTTCTCAGTTTTCCAGTCATATAGATCAATCTCTCCGACATGCTATCTTTTCCTCCTCTCCCTCTCCCTCTCCCTCTCCCTCTCCCTCTCCCTCTCCCTCTCCTCTCCCTCTCCTCTCCTCTTTGAGCTGAACAGGGATTTTAAAAGTATGCCAAGATCATATCTTATTCAAGACATGTTAAAGCTATTTCAGGTATATTCAGTCCTTTGCACAGTCTCACTAATTATATTTTAGTGCTTCATCTGTGCAGAGATTACTTTGCTATCTTGTTTTATTCATAATTTATAGTAAATAATTTTTGTGCTGCTCTTCCCCATTTAATTTATCTCTTTATAGAGATTTTATGATGTGTTCAGGTATGAAGATAATTGTATTGGTCCAAATTAATCCCAAATGTAGCTTCACAGAACTGACAGGAATTGTGATAGAGACTTTTGATCTGTGTAAATAAATTTTATTTAGTATTTGTGTGGGTTTACTCCTAGAGGTTTAATAGGAAATCTAGATCCTGCTGTGCAAATCCTATATTAATATACAAGGCACAATAGAGTCCCTAAGGAGCTGATGTTGTTTATAGGCATTGTCAAGTGTCACATAGGTTCTCTAACAGAAGAAGTCAAAAGAGTGCAATGCAATAGCTTTGCAGGACTTTTTCATGAAGCTAACTCCATTCATGTGGGATGTCATAGATGAAAACCACGACAGCACTTGAGAGAACATTGGTGTGGTGCAGACCTGCTAGAGGACTGTCTAATGTGGGTGCATGCATGGACTCCACAGTGCAGGCACTTTTGATCTGATGCATCCACATATGTCAGATTTGCTGGAGATGTACAAATCAGTCAACCCTAGATCTGTTTCAGAATGTCCTCTCCCTTGCCACTGCAACTTCAGTCAAGTGTTACAAAAGCCAGTCCTGCTTGAAGATAAGTCTATCAAAAATTCATCAAAGACCAACAATGAAAAAGAACAGCCTTATAGATTTTGTGACTGGAAAGGACCATTAATGTAATCTAACCTCCTGTAAAGCACAAGCTATATTTTTTCACTGAGAAAATACTTGCGTCTAGACCAGCAATGCAGCCAAAGAAACTGTTTGAACAGAGAGATGTTAAGACTGATTGCAAATGTTTGTCTACGTTTTAAGACTATAGGTGCACAAAGAAGATGAGTTCTGTTAAATACATATTTATAAGATACTCTCAACATTTCAGTCTCAAGGTTTTCCTCAACAATTCATAGTTCTATTTGAATCCTGAGATTCTGTAAGTCAGGTGACTCACATCAGACTCGCTGCTTCTACTTGTGATTTGAATGGCATCACCATTCAAATGAAAAAAAATTTTAAATCCAATTTAAATTTCTGCTAGGAAAAAAACTTTAAATCCAATTTTCAAACATACAAAAGCCTGATGCTAATAAAATGCAATTTTCCAAACATGTACATTACATAATTTTAAGTCAGCCTCTTGGGGCATTAATTGCTCCACTCAAATGCAGACAGTGCAACACTGGGTGCTTTATGCATAGGCAGTACAGGAAATATTACATTAATAAAGTGAAGCTGGACTAGAAGGAAACCATCATGTGGGGATGAAAACTGAGAGTCATATGGAGAGACCAGGAGAGTTTGCCCCTGGAGTCATGGAGGATGTGGCAGCTGGAGGGGATGAGACAGGGCAGGCTTCTTCTGCAGACACAGTAGCGCAGTACCTGGCAAAGTGCACTAAGTGGTCTTAGGAGGAAAAGACAGGAGCCCCAGGGGAAGTTTGTTTTGACATGTAAAAGGACTTGTTAGCTAAGAAGCAGCTGTGGCAGCACAATACTCAGAAAAATGGCAGCAGGCAGGAACAGGAGCATG